TGGCGGGGGCACCTCCAGCTGCAGCCCAGTGGCGCCATCTGCGCAAAAAACACGCACGAAATCCTCGGCGGCTGGAGCCCGACCAAAAACCGCGGGACTCGCGTGAACAACATCGAAACCCAAGAGTTGCCAAGTCCTGGAATATTCTGAAGTGAAAGCCTTTTGCCGACCGTGGAGACGATACAAACCTACCGAAGCTTTGATGAGTCATAGAGGTCTGCATGCTCTTTGTAGGTGGCTTGAGGGGCACCAATTGGCCGTCTTGGCGTTGTAGCAGCCGTGGCGTTACGTTATACGAATTACACGCTGACGTCTAACATTATCTTGCATGGTATCAAGCTGTGTTTTTGTCCACCTGGAGCTATAATGAGCAACGTGGTTGTGTCTGTTGCCGTGTTTCAAGCCGATCAAATACAATAAACGAAATTATTCAAAAAGAAGCGCTATCATGCACGATGACATGGAAAGCATCCTTACAGTTTTTTCAACATAGTCTGGTTTTCAGATACATGAAATACCTTAAAGGGTACACGGTCACCCACAAACATATAAAATTGGCAGGTACACACATGCACTGAAAGTAGAGTTGTCTTTATGCTGCATCTCTGTTTTTTTTTCTTGACAGCTGTCTCCCCTTTACACCACAATATCTATATTAGGTTGTAACCATAACATGGACACTACATAACTCTGGTACAAATGCCAGCGCAGCCTATCAGCACCGTGACGAACCATTCATGGTAGAGTCTTAGTCATCACAGTGTAATCCTTTCCTTTTTCTGTGGCTCTTGTATCTCACAAAATGCTACCAGTTTATTTGGATTTCCCTCCACAATCAACGTGAACGATACCGCTTTTATGACAACGACATACGCAAAGCTCCAAGACGTGTATGGAGGAGCTGGGTTCGATGACTTGTTGCTGAATACAAATCACATGCTCTTCTTCTATAGTACTTTATGTCTCTAGCAATTTCATATATTTTTGGTGATTTTGATAAGGCATTGATGGATAGAGACAATCGTTGTTTGCAGTTATTATGCGAGGAGGATTTGACCCATAGGTAAGAGCCTCTCCAGGCGATGGAGAGCTCCAACCTCGGCAATCGCAGTGGCACGCATCGGAAGGCAAGCTTAACATGGCCTGCCCTCTTTTATATGTTGTGACGTGTCTCTTCTAGGACCTGCACTGTCGTTATAGTTTCCTCTAGCGGCTCGAACATTTTCCTCCGGTTTGTACAAATCTCAATTTGGAAAATCTTTGAGAACTTCAAACAATGCAGGTGTCCTGAGATTCAAGGCCACCCATCGCTCTACACATGCCTCGGTGGCTCCCGCGGGCCTGATCCCCCCCCCCCCCCCCCACTTGGCCGCCAGCTGACCGCAGCGTCGCTGCCAGCGGAGCGCATCTCCCCTACCGGCGAAAAACTCCCCCTTCCCCCTACCACGGGCCTCGCGAGCTGAGATGTCGACGGACTCCAGACCGTCAACACCCCGCCCGCCGTCGGCGCGTCGGCTCGAGTGACGTCACAGCCGCCGCCGCCGGGTGCGTGACGTCACAGCGGAAGTCCATGGCGGTGTGACGGCTGTAATTAGTTCGTTACATGCGCCCGTCTTAGGCCAGTGCCTCGCTTTTCAGGCGCCAGACAGTGATGGGAACTTTCTCCACTGCGTGCCTCTGAAAAATGGGAGGGATTGGCAATTTGGGTTTGAATGTCGGGAGGTTCAATTGGGTGCTGGATTTTTAATCTGGGCATTGCCCTTTGCATGCATGCATGACATCGGCAATGGAAGTTACGCCACCTACCATGCAAGCTCGTAGGCGCGGAAGGTCTGGAGTTCTTCACAGATCGGAAGAATCCTTAGATGGCCGGGCAATCCACGGGTTCGTTTAGGCCTGCTCAGAAAACTCTCAAAAACAAAGAAAAGTGGAGAGAACTTATGCGCACAGCGGTACTGGGGCTGGCTGGGGTCCGTGGGGCGCGGCGTCTGTCATGCCCTGACCGGATTTGGGAATTCATGAACCCTAGGAATTCAAACGAATTGAATGAAAAGCACGTGCTACACCATGTGTGGGGCTGACGAAGCTACAAGTGCAATATTTCATGAACAGAACTTGTAACAGCAAAGGAAGTCTTTTGCTTGCACAGTACAACGAAGCACGTGTCGCACTCGAAACATTTAACATTGTTATGGTAGTTTTCTTTATCCTTAATAGGTGCGCTTGTGGAATGTGCACACGGTTGGGAGTTAAGCTGCCAGCGAACAATATTTGTCATAATAAACGTATTGAAAGGTGAAATATCCTAAACATACTTGAAGTAAGCTGCAATGCGAAATCAGAACAACGAGGGAGTTATCTATAAAACTGCATAGTGTAAAGAATCGAACCGGAGTATATTCATGAATGCTTCAAAAGGCTAATTGCAGACGGAGTGGGTCCTGGACCCAGTAGACCGACCTGACGGGATGACTGGAACATCAACGAACCGGACATGTAATTTTGAACGACTTCTAGGTGGTCCTTGTCGCGATTCTTGTCCTGTCGTTCCGTTAATGCTGGAAAGCTCTGTCGAGCACTTTTCGAATGGATGGGACCGTGTGTAAGCTCAAGGAAATGAAAGCCAGATGGTTGGACCTCTAACCCGAAACATTCATATACATTCCAGCGCAGTGGCCATGCCGATGCACTTAAAGTAGTACACACATAGAACGCATTTCCAGATGCTTTATCTTACAATCTGACGCATTTCGCATTAAAAATTGAGGAATTGTGTCATCTCGATTCGGAAGGACCGGATTCCGTGCTTAAGTTGTTATTTCATCTGATAACAATTCGTCTAAAAACCTAGAAGCGTATTGAGATTGGGGATAAGGCGTGACTACAGGCTGCTGGGTGGGCGAATTAGAATCATGACAACCATCTAAACCTGGTGGTGACAACCGTGTGAGATCCAGACCACCAGCGTCACCATGAAGAACAAACTCACGAGAGATTCAAGATCGGAATGTACGAAAAAGTAGGAGCACAAAATATGTCAGTCAAAAGTAAGGTTCATATCGGTGTGCTCTTCTCTAAAAAAAGACGCTAAATGAAATGTCCTAGAACTTTCCCGGACGGATGCTTTCAGCCATGTTAGCGATGTCCGGTGAGCTACATTCGTATAAAAGGCATGCAGCAAAATTGTTGGCGTTTCCTTTAGCTTATTTAAGTCTTCCCCATGGTCTAAGGGAGAGAGATGTTGAACCCACAATCCAGCGGCACTGCCTACGAGTCCTTCAGCGGGTGTATTACTTGACCCGACTGAAATGGGAATAGCAGCTGGCAAATGGCCAACGAGGGTCAACCCAGTCCTGGGGCGGGCGTGCCGCAGCATTGTGCGGCACGTGAAACCCCCGCGGTCCGGTCTGGCGAAAGAGCGGAGGCAAAATTATTATACGTTAAACAGGACGGCTCGACTTGGTTGGTGGGTTAAGTGTACACGCAATAAGCTATGCTTAGCAGGTGTTTTGAACCCAGAGCCACGCGTGCAAACCATTCGGAATCATTTATCTTTTTTAAAATATGTATTTGTAACAGGCAAGGCGTGCAGTGCGCTGTCGCTAACGTGGCTGTCATGGATACGGGACTATGGTAAGCCATTCTTCCGCTGCAACACTGGGACATATTTTGGCAGCCGATCCGATCAGTCTTCGGTGATTATTGCGCAAGCTGCTAAAAAAGAACTCGAGCTCAGGATGCACAGCAAGACAAAAAAGAAAAGAAAATATTCTCCGCTATGGCCGTTATGATGCCAAAAAAGCGTGCTAAAGTACGCCTGTTTGTCGCCCAAGCTATTATAAATCACTCATTGTCCCGAGTCCAACACTTTCTGCCTCCTCCAGTCGATCAACATGATGACCATGATGATGATGATGTCGATGCTGTCCACAGATTAGGGCTAGTAGCCAACCATATTTGTATATCGTTTGTCAATCCCTGTGAACCATGAGCATGAAGTCTGTTTGTTAAAGAAAGCATGTCATGCTGATTATATTCTGTCTCCGACTCATATTTGCAAAACTATTAAGTCCACCGGAAGGTTATGTTGCATTAGAAACGAGGTGTTCATAAATGTCTTCCTGAGCAATGGGGTCATTTTTTCGGTGGACACATCTCTGACGTAGCATCGAGTATTCTTTCCTTTTAATGCATCTTGGGCACACCTGGCGATGCGATGCAGGCAATCCATGCATTGTCTGCCCGTACTATGGATAGAGCCCATGATTTAACGGGTGTACTTACCATTCGCTGACAAACATCCATGACAAACATGACAAACATCGAACCACCTCAACTTGGCAGCATGAGGTTTTCACGCCTGCCAAACTAACCAGACGTCGAATCCCTGTCATTTGTTTACCGGTGGCTGCACGAAGTAAGTGTCGGAATATCGCGGAGTATCTATATCCAGCCTATAGCGAAGTACGGTTTGTTTCCAATCGATAAGACAGTGGTAATAGCCTTAGTCCTCGGAGAAAAACCAGGTGAATGGAGATAGGAATGCGTCTATATTTTGACAACACTCTCCGTGGTTTCTCAGAGGAATAGGGCTATTACTGTTGTCTTATCTATCTGAATAATGTTCCTTGCAAGTGCACTTAACAGCTTACGTAATTCTGTTTTCAATCGGGTTGTTTTCCTGCACGCCTGATTTTTTACACAAATCTTGCGTTAGTAATGTGAAGTTTTAATGAGCCTTGATAGTCACGTTCGCTCTACTCTAAATAAATGGACTGAAACGCAGAAAACACTCCATCAACATAACAGCATCTGATACGTCCAGCGTTCTCTGATACGAATCCTATGAAGCGATTTAGTGGACAAAGTAACCACTACGTCACCCATCAATCCTTCGGCCCCGCCTCCTCTCTTCCTCCCTCCCGCACCTTACACCCACCGATCCCTTTCGTGGCGACTCCACGCCGATAAGACGCGTTCTCCTCCCCAGGGCGTGACGCGTGAGGCGTGAGACGAGGCGTGAGCAGCGGCGTGAGAGGGCCGCCACCGTCCGCTGCGCGCACTGCGCCGGCGACTCCGACGCCCGCCAGTCGGCAGGAAGCTAGCACCGGCGACTGCAGCGTACGTGCGGTAGTGGCGAAGGCACCGCCGCGGACGGCGCGCGGGCGACGGCGTGCGGCGATCGCATAGAGGAACAGCGGAGCGGGAAGTGAGGCGGTGTATGCCGACAGTGCAGAGGCGGCGGCGGTGGTGGGTGAAAACGACGGTGAATGGGAAGAGCGCAGACCGAAACTGACCTGTGAATGGGACTCCGTGGCGGCATCATGGCATTCGTGGCGGCGGGGATCGTATTGTTCGTCGCGGGATTCGACTGCGCGAACGGTAAGTGGAAGGGACTTTCGTTTTCGCTGCATTGATGCGGGGATTGATTGGGATTTAGGAGTGTCGCGGTAGCTCTCGCGATTGACATCGGGTGGAGTAAGTGTACAGCAATCGTTCTTACCACGCTTTTTGTACCCACTGGAAAGTTCGATGCCTCTGATTTGACAACAAAACTACCGGAAGACATGCGTGATGAAAGAAACACTTGAAGTTCTGAAATCCGTGACAGCTATAGGTGCTCATATACTAGGTATACCATACAACATCATTAGCGTATTATGTGAGGCGCCTTTTCAACTAACCGCAGATTTCCATGCTAGCAATGATTACTTATTGTCGACATTTTATCGTATCTTGTGTTAGATAGAACGATGAAACTTGATCAAAATCGAGTGGCCTTAGTAGGGGGACTTAATGATTTTAAACAAATGCTGTCTACACAACATCCAAAGGATCACATTCGAGTCCAGAAATATTGGAAAATAGAGTCCGTTCAAGGATATGAAAAGCCCCAACCACGTTCAATCCATGATCTACCATAAGTACTTCCGCAAAACAAACTGTCAACAAACGCCATAATGCGTTTGGTTCGTAATCTTAACATAAATGGTACTACTCATGAATAACTAAAGCTAAGGAGCTCTATCAGTAGTACAAATGTATGTCACTTTAGCCCCTGTCTGTTTAAGACCTCTCACATAAAAGCGGTCACGGAAGTAGCTCGGAGTGCGTGATGGACAAGCTGTAACATCAGCCACATTGCGCAGACACGTTAACACAGGATGAATCTCATCCAACGTCTGCAACATCCCCCTGAACCTCCCTTAATAACCCTGAAACAGCACCTCATCCCCCCCCCCCCGTCTTCAGCTTGTCGCCTAGGGACGCCGGGGGAGCCGTCCCGGTTCGAGCGAGTGCCGGAGAGTCTGGAGCCGGGAACCCACGTGCTCGTGTTCGAGGTGGACGGAGCCGACCGGCTGACACTGCGACCCATCTCCAAGGTGAGGGACTGGGGCTGACAGCTGAGCACGGTGAGGGACCAGAGCTGGCATCCGAGCAAGGTGAGGGACCGGGGCTGACAATCAGGCACGGTGAGGGACCGGCGCTGGCGGCCGAGCACGGTAAGGGATCGGAGCTGGCAGCCGAGCACGGTGAGGGATCGGAGCTGGCAACCGACCACGGTGAATATATATATATATATATATATATATATATATATATATATATATATGTGTGTGTGTGTGTGTGTGTGTGTGTGTGTAGCAAATCGACACATCTCTCTCTACCTGTTTTAGCTTCTTCTCTCCCTTGCATACATTCTGTCATGTTATTGCGCTCATCCTGTACCGCCTATAGCACTGTGTCCACATTTTTCACCTCGCACCCCCGATTCTCGCTCTCTCCGCTTTGCGGATCGCTACCATCACGCGCATTCCGCCCATCATCCAGTGTCGGCTGTCGCAACGCGCCCGTTGCGTTTTTGGCGAAGCGGCGACTCGGGTGGAGTTACGTTTTTTTGTCATCGCAATGAGGCAATCAACGCCACATTCATCTTCCGTGATGGCATAAGCCCCTCGGAAGGGACAGAAGAAGCCGTCTTAACGCGCCATGCTAAATTGATATCTCACATGCAATAAAGCTGCCCGGTGAAAAGATTTTAATATACTTTCGTGTGTGACCGTGCAGTTGCGATGCTATATAAACGCAGTTCAAGGCTCTGAGTTCCCAGAAGATAGCGCAAATAATCCGCGCCGGAACAGACTATATGCCGCTCTACTTGGAACACCGCTGTTCTGCTGTCAAATACCATTGTCATTCTGTTTTAAGTGTCTCAGCTATTCAGCTAAGCCCTTGACTGGCGTTCCGTGATTTCCTCCGTGACTCATGTCAGTTCAGCGTCCTCTAATCTTTCATCAATGCTGACACGAACACTTCATCTGCTGACTGACGCTCACAATCTCAGGACGAAGACTTCACCGAGTTTTTCCGACCGGCCATGATCACCAACGACACGGGTGGCGTGGTGGTGGCTCAGCCTCTGACGTCATTGGTTCAACGCCGTGAGCCCGTGTCGGTCGTCAAGTTCCGCGTGCTCTGCGAAAGCCCGTCGCCCTTCACAGTGAGTACTCACGTGCTGAAGGCGGATAAAGAGACACGCCTGGAGAGTGTAGTTTGTCATCGCACTTTGGCGATATCATGTTTTTGAGATGGAGGAGAGGCAGAAATCTGGGTTGGATGGGGAAAAATTGAAACCTAGAGGGCAATGGCCGACCCGAAAATGAGACTTTGAAGGAAAAACATGAGCAGCGTGCCATTTCTTGACATAGTCGTTGGGGAAGGACAAGATGACACTTTGTGACAATTGGAGAAGGTATGGCCCGTCGGCACCCAGTGGTCATACCCATGTCCCGTCACAACCCCAGTAGTTATACCCATGAATTTCATCAGCAGCCCATGTCCCGTCAGCACCCCAGTGGTTATACCCATGAATTTCATCAGCACCCAGTGGTCATACCCATGTCCCGTCACTACCCCAGTGGTCATACCCATGGATTTCATCAGCACCCAGTGGTCATACCCATGTCCCGTCACTACCCCAGTGGTTATGCCCATGGATTTCATCAGCACCCAGTGGTCATACCCATGTTCCGTCACTACCCCAGTGGTCATACCCATGGATTTCATCAGCACCCAGTGGTGATACCCATGTCCCGTCACTACCCCCAGTAGTTATACCCATGGATTTCACCAGGACCCAGTGGTCATACCCACGTTCCGTCAGAACCCCAGTGCTTATACCTATGTTCCGTCAGCATCCCAGTGGTTATGCCGATGGATTTTGTCACTTGTGTGTATGGCACTCATCTGCTGTTGTCGAAACTTCCCGACAGACCTGCTTTGTTGCCTTCGTCGTCAGGTACTCTGCTGTACTCTACTGAACTATGGTAATGTGTGGCGTTTTACCAAGGCAAAACACAGCAAGCGTGTCCCACCGCATTATGACAACAATGTCAGATGTAAGGGATTTCTTGCGGCAAATTAAAGTCGTGCTCCATTGCCCATGTCAAAATAGATTGTAGGAAGGCTTTGCAATATCGTTTTGTTTGCAAAGCTCCCACTGATTTCGACCCGGTTACTTGGGGGCAAACATGTGCCGTTTTGTCCTAAGATTTGCACCTTTGCGTATATAGCTGAGCTTATATCTTTTGATACATGCATCTGATTATGTATAACCGCCCATCACGTCGGTCATCTCATCACGGAAAGGACATGGGACGTCCTTCTCGTTTCCCGTCCCCTCAGAACGTGGGGACGGGGATCCAAAGCCGTTTTTGGGATCATGGTGTATAGGACACACCAAAGACCCGATGTTAGCTCGTGCGGTCTCAACGATCCAGATGCCTTCAGCCCTAGGGTCTCCCTTCCCCTTTCCTAGGGTCCCTTCAGCCCTTCAGCCCTAGGGTCTCCCTTACCCTTTCCTAGGGTCCCTTCAGCCCTTCAGCCCTAGAGTCTCCCTTCCCCTTTCCTAGGGTCCCTTCAGCCCTTCAGCCCTAGGGTCTCCCTTCCCCTTTCCTAGGGTCCCTTCAGCCCTTCAGCCTAGGGTCTCCTAGTACTGCACATAGGAACCGCCAGTCCTGCATGTAGGGACCGCCAGTTCCGCGTATAACGATGTAAAGTACTTTACTTAGATCATTTAGATCATTCAACGACGCTAAGTGATATCTCGAGCATTTAACGGTAACCCAGTCAAGTGGCATAACCGGTGGTGCATTCACATCCAGAGTCTAGAGATATATGAGAGCCTGCTGATGACATGCCTGCATTTATCGCATCGTTTTATGTGGGAAATTCTAGCAAACACTGCTTATTACCTAGCGTTCCAAGGCGATACGCCGTGGGAAAGCCCATTGAATTAGAAATCCGAAGAACGAGACCTTGGTAAAACGCCGTTGATATGATGGTTAGCAAGTGCATGTTAGGCCATGGTTGCTTAATTTAACTGCATTGTAGTCACGCCCCAAGTATGGAACATGTAAGAGTAGGAGAAAGGTTTCACTAATTGCATTGAGAAGGGCCTGAACGAGAGGGAAATCACCGAAGGTTTGCCTTCCCATGCTTACAAGATTTCCATGAGCTCCGCCGTGATATCACAGATTGTTAGGCGGCCTGCAAAACTGAAGGAAGGGCTGGCCAAAGACTTGAGCGCAGCTCATGGCTGTGAATGATGCTTCACATGTTCACTGAATAATGATAACTAATAACTAAAAACAGGTACCTAAATTAATAGTGTTGAAAACAATTTTTGAATACCTAAGACATGTGCAGCGATGTTGGGTGGAGAACAGAATCAGGCAACCTCTCCATTCTACTTCTCTTTTCACGCCGATTGTCTTTTACAGCCGCCACCTCTAAGTGCTTTTACAGTCGCCACCCCCAGGCTGGGGAGGTCACCACAAGTTTGCCAGGCCAGTTACCGTGACCCTGGCACTACCAAGAGCCACGTGTGCCGCTTTCCGCCTATTAAGAACCAACACACAATGCCTCCCACCTCGACACAGCCGCTGCATCTAACGCTTCAGTATCACTCCGACATCACGGCCTTCACCACATCCTCCCCGGGGTCAACACGACTGTCCGAAGGCCGCAGGGCCTCTCTAATGATCGACTGACGTGTCCACTGTCTCTCAACTCTTCGCGGTCGCGATAAGGTTTGGATTGCTTCGGCGATTGCGCCGCGGGGATTGCAAACCCCGGTGGTCGCGCGCCCACGCCGATCATCGCAGTCACGTGACCTGGCTCCGATTGGTCCCGAGTGGCACGTGACCATGCGTTTCGCCTCGGGGTGAAAGTGTCCTTGAGCTGATAGCCCCAGGTCCGCATCCACATGCGCTGGTCAGGACTTGAAGTCTCGTGACGTTGTTTGGTCAGGTCCTTGAAGAAGAGTGACCAGTTGGCTACGGTTTTTGCTCTGCTGTGCGTACAAACGCCAGGTGGGCCTTGCATTTATGATGTTATGCATCACATTAATCCACGCCTGCGTTACCCCGCGGCTGTTTGTAACTGGTTGTAACCAGTTAAGGAAGAATGAGTGGGGACTGCTTACACTGAGGTGTGCGCTAGTTGAGGTGTCACACTAGTCGTACAGGTGAAGCGTGTGTCCTGTTTTGAGCTGCCATGAGGCTTTTGGTTATTGTTCTGCGCATAATTATAGTTGTAAGCCAGACAATAATGGTCAAATTTAGCCAGACAAAGAAGCAACACCATAAAGCGAGAAGCGCGGATCCTTTGACGGACCCTTTGACAGATCCTTTGACAGACGGAGAAACGATATTTTTGCTCGTCAACGATATTATCTCCTTGAGTGCAACCTGAAAGGCACGTACGATTTTTCCAGAGTAAAGAGGTAGCTGCATTCTTCTCACAATCATTGGCACACCTGCTCGGTTACATTGCCCCTGCTGTTAGGTTATTGTTGCATATAATCAATGCCGCTTGTGTCTTAAAATCATATTTGTCGCCATGTGCGACATGAAGACGCTGAAACGAAAAAGGAAAACATAGATAAGACAACTGTAATGGCCTTATTTCTCAGGGAAAAAACCAGGAGAATGAAGATTTATTCCATTGATATTTTGGCAACATGCCTTTATCCAATAGCAGAAGTGAATTCGTTTCACTTCTGCTATTCGTTTAAATAAACGCATGTTGCCGAAATATCAACGGATCCATATCACCATTCTCCTGTTTTTCTCCAAAGGCTATTATTACTGTCTTATTCACGTGAATAATGGTCCTCACAAATGCACTTAACAACTAACAAAAAGAAAAGCTGCCGACAGTTCCAATCTGAGAACTTAACACCGCGCCATGGCATGGTCGTCTTTGAAGCCGTTCGAACTTCATAAATCATGTTTTCTTTTCATCACAAATGTGTCCGAACAGGGCTTCAGATGGGTTTCTCATGCGCTGTCTCATCCTTATCGGTACCCTAATATCATAAAGCGCGCACACGTGCCAGCTCCGTTGCTACGCGACGCATTCAGATCTGACATGGAGCATATCCGTGGCAGCTCACGCTTCACAATGCATTGCCGCATTTCACCTAACAGTCTTACCTTGTCACCTTAGCTGTGCGCTGTGCCAGTGCCTGGCGTCTATGCCACAGGGGTACACTTGAGGCACGTAGCCAAAGATGTCCTCGGGGAAGGGGGCAAATGCCAACTTTTGTCAAACTTCATAACACTTGGACCAAATATCTGCGCAATCCCACAGCGCATGATCGCACTGCGTGTGAATAATAAATCGCATCCCATCTACGAACGGGGAGGGAGAGGGCACGACCCCTTGACCAGCCCTTGGCTACGTCCCTGACATATTTCCAGACAGGTTGGTGGATGCAGCCCCCATTCTGTGTCCAGTTCCCTCAGCCTCCCCAAACCCTGCGGCTAACTCTCTCGGCTTTGAATTTGAACCGAGGAAGGTCCGTGGGAGTTCAAGTGTTGGGGACTCAGTTTGGATCCGCTGGTGCAAATCCGCGCCTGTGATCAGCGCAGATCCCACCTGGCATCTGGTCTGTGATCAGCGCAGTTCCCACCTGGCATCTGGTCTGTGATCAGGGCAGTTCCCACCTGACATCTGCGTCTGTGATCAGGGCAGTTCCCACCTGACATCTGCGTCTGTGATCAGGGCAGTTCCCACCTGGCATCTGCGTCTGTGATCAGGGCAGTTCCCACCTGACATCTGCGTCTGTGATCAGGGCAGTTCCCACCTGACATCTGCGTCTGCGATCAGGGCAGTTCCCACCTGGCATCTCCGTCTGTGATCAGGGCAGTTCCCACCTGACATCTGCGTCTGTGATCAGGGCAGTTTCCCACCTGGCATCTCCGTCTGTGATCAGGGCAGTCTCACCTGGCATCTCCGTCTGTGATCAGGGCAGTTCCCACCTGCATCTCCGTCTGTGATCAGGGCAGTTCCCACCTGGCATCTCCGTCTGTGATCAGGGCAGTTCCCACCTGACATCTGCGTCTGTGATCAGGGCAGTTCCCACCTGGCATCTCCGTCTGTGATCAGCGCAGTTCCCACCTGACATCTGGCGTCTGTGATCAGGGCAGTTCCCAC